TATTATCCTATTACTTACAACAACAATTATAGACTGTCTTTTTATCAGGTTAAAAGAAATGATTTCACTTCAAATAAAAAAGTATCTTATGAAACTGGAATTGCTGAGTACACTGCAGAACCATTATTATCAGCAAACCGGATAGATGCTTTCAGCCTGTGTTCCCAGTGTGTGCCACGGGTGGCTGTGCCTACATCTTCTGGGCAGTGAGCACATAATTTGGCAGAACAGGTACATTGACAGCACTGTTCATCCTAGAAGTGAATGTCTCAAAAGTCTCATTCTAGTGGAAACCTGGTGACTTCATCCTTCCTGTTTAAGTACATAGAAAGGATTCCCCTATAATGACTGTGTACTTGATAAAACTGATAAAGATGAGCTCTCTTTTGAGTTATCAGCCACATTGAACAAAATCTTCATGAGTCCTAGAATTGATCAGACTCTACATCATCCCATTACCTGGCATGTAGCATGACAATCAAATGCTGCTGAATGGAGGCATAGATGTCAGAGTTACAGGGACCTCAAAGATTGTGAAGCACAGCTTCCCTCATTTTGCTAAGCAGTGCTGTGTTACTGTGGCCCGTTTTTCATCATGTATATCACCAGCTGATATAATCTCTGTGTCTGTTGGTTTGCTTCTTGTCTGCATTCCGCCACAGAATATAAATTTCACAAGAGCAGGACTCTGTCACATTGTTCCCCTGCATCCTCAGCGCGGCATACAGGAGGAGATCAATAAGTTGTTGTTAAAAAAAGAATAAATAGCCCTAACCGGTTTGGTTCAGTGGATAGAGCTTCGGCCTGTGGACTGAAGGGTCCCAGGTTCGATTCCGGTCAAGGGCATGTACCTCGGTTGTGGGCACATCCCCAATAGGGGGTGTGCAAGAGGCAGCTGATCGATATTTCTAACTTCTCCCTCTCTGTAAAAATCAATAAAATATATTTTAAAAAAAATTTTTAAAGAATAAAAAAATTTAGAGGTCCACAGGTAAACATTTCAAATAGTTGAGAAGAGAAAGGAAATTAACATTTGTGGAGCACCTACCTGTTAAAAATGGTTTACATGCTAGTACACAGTATATGCTATCTCAGTTAATGCTCATAAGAGCCCAGTGGTGAGAAAAGCAATGTTATTTCCTTATAATGCTGACGAAAGAAGCTCAGAAGGCTTGGTAACTCAGACCTGTCTGACTTCAAAGATCATGCTATTTTCACTAGTACAGTGTTTCTCAATTAAGTCAGTGTAAGGTCTTTCTTGAAAAGTATCTTTATTCTGAATGTTGGCTGATCCCATGATATTTAATTTTTCATAATTAAAAAAGAAAACTTTCCTCAAAGTCAGTTCCCTTAAAAAGCATAATGTAAAGCACATGTGTCAAACACAAGGCCCGCGGGCCAAATCCGTCCCGCCAGGCCTTGCAATGTGGCCCGCACCGCGCTGTCATCACTGCACTCCGCTGCGTTTCCATCACAATGACAGTTTATGACTGTTCAGTAAACCATTCGGCCCGCGATTTAGGCTGGATTTTAGATTTTGGCCCCTTCTCTGATTGAGTTCGACACCCCTAATTTGTAAAGCAAAGCATCTAGCTACTAGGGCCCCTGCATGTTGCTAAAGGGCAGCTTGGAGTGGCAGGTACAACCTTGGACTTGGTCTTTGAGGACCTGAGGCAGGGCTAGCCATTGACCCATCACCACAGGTTGAGCCTCGTCTGTAAAATAATGACATCAACAGCTGCCTGCCTGCCTGACAGATGGGTTAGAGATAATGTATGTTGAGCGCCTAGCACTGTGTTTACTCGAAGAAGGTGGCCCTTAAAGGTTAACCACTCTTATTGTTACTATTTCTATCAGTGTTGTCATTATTCATAGTACTCATAACACATACATACTTTCCTCAGAAAAGTATGTCTTCGGTCCGACCTACCAATGCAGTTCATGGACCCATGGTCATCGATTGTTCCACCTGAGTGTTTGCTGAAGCTGCGACCCACGTTTTCCATTCCATTGCCCAGAGTGCTCAACCAACTCCCCACCAACCACATGTTTGGTCAACAAAGGGAGTTTGTCTTAAGAGGATGAGTGGATTAGATCAAACTATAACTACTTTCAGAAAAATAACAATAATAGTAACTTTTAATAGTGTTATGGTGCCTTTCACACTTTCTGGTGTTTCCATGTATGTTAGCTCATTTTTTTCTCACACGTGTAAGAGAAGTGATATACTTTGTGGGAGCAATTTGACCTGCTTCCCCTCCGTTTTGGCACTAGCTGCATGTCCCTGACTTACCTTTGTGTGCCTCACTATGTTCAGCTGTGGAATGGAGTAATAGCAGTGTACAACTCACTGGGGTTCTCGGAAGATGAATGAGCTAACGTATGTTAAGTGCCTATGTTGACACATTAGTGCTCAGTAGTAGAAGCCATAGTGGAGTCTGTGTTTCCTTATTTGACTTTTTAAGTGTTCTTGAAGAAACTGTCTTTTATTAGGCAGCTACTAAATGCAAGGTGCTTTCACATATTGTATTCCAGTCCATTCTGTCCTGAAACCCAAAAGATGAAACTTGCTCAAGACCACAGCTTGCAGGTGGTCGAGCTGAAATGAAACTCTAGGCTGCTGCTTTTCCTGGGGTACTACCCTGACACCCATGTACCACTTGACATTCTTGGAATAGTGATGGAAATATTTTCCTCTATGCACATACCTCAGGCTACTTTTTTTTAAAGTGACATTATGACATTTGGTCTGGTATTTGGAATTATTTAAAATAATACCCAAAACACCTCTGTAAGTTTAATTCAACAACATTAAACTGAACTTTATGGAAGAATATAATTGAGTAAAACTTAAGACACTCAACACAGACCATTGGGCTTTGATTGCATCCCATGCCTTTTTCCCAATCACTTAGAGAGAGTGGATTTTGGGGCCAGTATGCATTTGCAATTGGTGTTTCCATTACGCTTCACAGCTGTCAGCTTGCTCTAGGCCAGTGGTCGGCAAACCTCGGCTTGAGAGCCACATGCGGCTCCTTGGCCCCTTGAGTGTTCTAACGCCACTTCTTCAAAATAGACTCGCTCAGGCCGAAAACCAACTTCTGCGCATGGGCCACAAAGTTTCAATCGCACTGTACATGCATACTCGCACGTGGTATTTTGTGGAAGAGCCACACTCAAGGGGCCAAAGAGCCGCATGTGGCTCACGAGCAGCAGTTTGTCGACCACTGCTCTGGGCCAGTACTTTTCAAGCTTGTGTGTGCATCAGAATTGCGCTGAGGGCTTGTTAAAGCACAGATTGCTGGCCTTATCCCAGGGTTTCTGAATCAGTAGTGTGAGGAGGGGTGCAAGAATTTGCATCATTTTCAGATGATGCTAAAGCTACTGGTCTGGGTACCACATTTTAAGAACCAATGCTCTAGATTAGGAGCAGGCAAACTTCTGTAAATGGCCAGATCTGTCACAACTACTCAACTCTGCCCCTGTAGCTCAAAAATAGCCATGGGCAATTGAAAGCAAACGACGGTAGCTTTGTTCCAGTGTTTTAGGAGCACTGAAATTTGAATTTCATACATTATAAAACATTGTTTTTCTTTCGATTTTTGCAACCATTTTATAAACATAAAAATCACTTTTAGCTGGGTGGGCTGTATAAAAGCAGGCAGCAGGCCAGGTTTGGCCTTGGGCTATCGTTTGCCAACTCCTGCTGTGCAATTATGATATGTTGGGGATTTCCAAAACTACTGTTTTAATTATAAAAGTTATTCAAGTAAATGTTTTTTTAACCTAACAGTTTAGAAGAAAATAAAATGATTCAAGAAGCCTTCATCTCCAGCCCCAATCATATGTCCCAGAAATAATCATTATTGATGAATAGCAATCTTCAGAAATACTATAGGTATATTTAAACTTATGTAAATGTATAAGCTCTTTTTACATTAATGGGCAGTTTATAAATACAAGGTGAGGTAAAAGTAGGTTCACAGTTGTGAGTAGGCAAAGCAGAGTTTATCTTGTATTATTATTTATTAATTATTGTATTATTTTCCACATGAATAACTGTAAACCTATTTTTGCCGCACCCTGTATTGTTCAGTATTTGCTATTTTCCTATGTCAATGTACTGTGGCTTCTTTCCATATCAATACTTAGAGATGACTTAGCTTATTCTCTTTAATAGGTCCATAGCTGTATAGATATACCATAATATATTTAACCAGTCCCCTACTGGTGGACATTTGAGTTATTCCCGTTTTTCCTTCCACAAACAATGCTGCAGTAGGGTTCATCTTCATATATCCATCACTGTATGATATCTGCAAGGTAAAATCTTAAGAGGGTGCATTGCTGAGTCAAAGGATGTGTGCATTTAAAATGTTGATAGATATTTCAAAATTCCTGTTGTGGGTAATTTTAGATCCCTATATTCATTTTCTTTCAGGGTTACACTCTACATTTTTGCTATCTAGTCTTTATTTGACTTGAGCATTCATCACAATGAATTTCAATATAATGCCTCGCTGCACATGAACTTAACACAGAGTAGTAATCAAATCGAGGGCAAAAAGTGCAGCTGGCAATTTGTCCGTGATTTTTCACGGCGTTAAAGAATGAAAAGCCACCCAAACAGTGCCCCGAGTTTCAGGTCACCCAGGACACTGCTGCGTAAGGTACCATAGCAGAAATGGTTCCTTATACAGACCCGGTGCTCCGCAGATGTTTCTATATGTTTATTTTCCATTGGAGTAGAGTTTTCCATTGTCAAACATTTATGTAAACATAGTATTAGCTAATAAATATGCCGTGCTACTATTTTATTAGAACTGAGAACGCCACTGCTTTTCTTTCTATTTGGGGCTTTTCCTCTCTGAGCCAGTAAAGAATTAGAATAATGATTTAATAGGCAACAACACAACATCTTCAAATGTAGCACCATGTTCGGTGTTTTTTTTTGTGTGTGTTTTTTTTTTTACTTAAAACATGTCTCTTTCTGCTCCTAGGTTGTCATAGAATCTTCTCTCCACCACTCAATCATATCTTCTTACACAAGCAGTCAAGCAGTCAACAAAGAAGAAATTTCTTTTTCCGGAGACAAAGAGAGATTTCACACAGTATAGTTTTGCCTGCTGCAGTTTCTTCCGCTCATCCAGTCCCTGAGGTACTGTATCGCCTATTATCTGCTGCCTTTTCCAGCTAAGATAAAGGTTAGCTGCAGAAGCAATCAAATGTTTTTGCACGTTTGATTTCTAAGCTGTTTGAAATATAATTTTTAAACTTGGTTTGTGATTTTAAATTGTCATTTGAGAAGTTTTAACATCCTGTAGTTCTATAAGGTTAATTTTTTAAAATAAAGAGCTGAGCTTATAATTGCTTATCTTATTTAGAATTAAAATTTCTATCATACAATTTTCTATGTTAACATGAAGATAAAACTACATGCATGTGAGGGTTTTTGTTTTTTTTTGAGAGAAAAAAATGACTATAATACTGGGATCATTCAAGAGAGATTACTTGAAACTAATACACTAGATGTTTTTTCCTAAAGCCTGCGCTTTTGCTCTTCATGTTATTAATGCTGCTGTCTTTGAATCTCCTTTACAGTAAATTAAAGAAAACATCTTGTCTCAGCATTCTTGACTTTTTTCCTATAGATTACAGTTCTATGGAAAGGCAATCCTTTTTCTTTAATGCCATATAAAGGAGGTGTGCGGGTTATTTAGGAAGAACAAGAATGGCTGAAAGAAATTCAGATTTGTCACAAAAATCACCTGCTTTCCCCTTTATGCATTTTTTACACTGAACCCACATTAAGTATATTATATTTCCTGAAGGTGAGTGACCTCAGTCCGTGGCAGAGGCTGACGAGACAGGCCACCAGAGCCCAAAGTATGTTCCTGGTATTTTCTTAGAAAAGAAAAAAAAAATCTCTGGAGAGGGAAATGTATTGTTTTAGAATTTCAGGGATAGTCCAATTGCCCTTCTGCCTGTGGTTGTAACCTGGCCTGATCACAAAGCAGAAACAAGGGCACAGAGCCGGGGGGTGGGGGGGGGGAGCGGGGGGGGAGACCTGGGAGCTTTTGTGGGCACCGGTGGGAAAGCTGTTGGGGAGATATGCTCCTCCAGAGCTCAGCTGTGGCACCTGAGCAGTGGCGTTACCTGTGTCGGAAAGGACCGTCTGACACGAGCAAGGTAAAGGTCCTTCCGTCCTGCCTGATGCTCTGCCAGAGTTGCTGTGATGTCAATTTTTGAATAGTGTTCTCTCTCTCAGCTCCCTGTCCCCATCTCCTATGTAGACAATACTTATGTAGCAGTTTTCGTAAGTAGCTTGTAAAAAGCTGTGCAAAACTTTGAGACTGAGAGAAGCTCTGTGGGTGAGACAGAGCATGTTTTCTGTGTACTGCCCATGGATTTGAATAAATGATGGAGAATGTGCTACCAGGGTAATCTGAGGTGAATGTTTTGAGTTTGGGGGGATACTTTGTTATTTTTTAACAAATGATAGAAGCACTCTGTGTAGTTTAACGTACTTAAGAAGAAAGAGAAAGGGGGAAAAGCTGTTTTATTTTATTCTCTAGTCCCTTATTAGTTTGGGTAACGTTGTGAAGAGCAAGAAAAGTGTGTGTGCGATAGGCTTCGCTGGCCTTGACAGTCAGCCTTTTACATATATTCATTGAGAGAGGGTGTTGTGAGCTATCCTTTGCATAAATTTTATCTTTGTGTTAAGAAGATGAAAGTGCTCTTAATTAGCCATTTGACAATTTGGAAGCCTGGTGCTGTTTTTCATCAATGACAGCGTGCTTCTCACGGGGCTGGGAGAAGGCAGAAAAGAAACTACTGTTTGTTTTGACCAGAAGTCCACTTCAGGCCAGTTTGACTCAAAGCACAGTAAGGTTAATAGACCGTCCAGAGACAGCACTAACAGGCAATGCTAAGTTCAAAAGGGCAGGCGAAGGAACCGGGGCAGCCTGCAGGGGCTGTTGTGCCGGCCTCGGAGGTCGGAGCTCCGGCAGGAAGGGCAGAACTCCATGAAGCAGGAGGCTGTGTCCGAAAAAATGCTCCCATTGTCGCGCGCTGGGTTCTGATCTTCGTTTTCAATCCTTTCTCCCCCAGCACATAAAGAAGCCAGACTATGTGACGACAGGCATTGTGCCCGACTGGGGAGACAGCATAGAAGTTAAGAATGAAGATCAGATCCAAGGGCTTCGTCAGGCCTGTCAGCTGGCCCGTCACGTCCTCCTTCTGGCTGGGAAGAGTTTAAAGGTGGCGTCTCCCAAACCTCCGAAGGACTTACATGAGGGCCAACAGACCCTCTTACTTTTCCTCTTTCCCTTTAACGCCTCTTTTGTACACATGTAATTGGTTACCAATTAAGTAAAGCCTTGGGATAGGGGAAGGGGATTGTATTGTTTTATGTGCGTATTCAAGAGATGGTTTAAAATCCAGACTCAGTTTTAAATAGAATTCTGGAGATGCTCTGGGCTCAGTCAGCCTATGTAAGTGGATCAGTGGCAGCCGGCTTTGACTTTTGCCCCCTTCCTCCTGCCTATAGTTTCTGCTTTTATTCCCCACATTACTCCGTGTGCCTGAAGAGCTGCTTGCCTCAGTCTTTGTCTACTATTTTCCTGCATTAGCTCTGCAGAGTAAGATCAGACCAGATACACAAAGCCATGGGTAATAGAGCGATGTAATTGTTACACCTGTCTTACTACAAGATTTGGTCCTTTCAGGATCATCTGAAACACTCTGCTGTATAAGGATCATACATGAAAATATGGGCCTGTAGTTTCAAAAAGGTGGGCAGAATTTAGGGAGTGAGACTCACCAATGAAATGACTTAAGGTACCATCTGGGTTATCCTCTTCTTATAGCAACGTATCTAAACATAATGTGACTATACAATGACACAGGAAGTTATTGAAGAAATAGTTCATTTTTAATAAAAGTTTTAGAATTTTATTCATGATTTGTGTGTTTAAGATATACTTCATGTGCTCATAAAACTAGATTATAGTTTTTCTTTTATGTGTGGATTCAAGAGAAAAATATTTTTAAAAAACATTGACTTATTTAGGTATGAAGGAAATCAAGATCAGTGAAAATGAAATCTATAAAATATGTATCAGACTCAGTTTTTTACATGATGATCTATAATTTTTCTATGCCATTGCTGCAAAACCCATGTAATGTTCCTCTGAGATATGGGTTGACCTAATTTTCAAGCTTTGTCATCTAAACTGACAATAAATTTTGAGTATTTATTTATATGTTTCTGTTAGCCCAGGTTACTAACCATTGAGGAAGAGGAAGGAATTACCTGAGGACATACTTTTGAAATGTTCAGTCTAAAAAGGAGTCATGTCATTTAATGACTCACAAATTATCAGAAGGATCTTAAGAGTTTAAAATTTCCATTTCCTAATGGTCCACAGCACCATCATATACTTGAATGACTATCAAAAAGGCACAATTTAAGATTTTCATGTTAATCATAATTAATTAACATTTTGTACTACAAGTTTATCACAGTAGATGTATATACTCTTGCTTGGAAGTGCTGTAGCTAAAAGCATAATAAGTAGACACAAGAAATGTCTTTAGCTGTCATTGCACAATTTCTCTATTTAATGTTCTAGGTTGACATGACAACTGAAGAGATAGATGCTCTTGTTCATCAGGAAATCATCAGTCATGATGCCTACCCCTCACCTCTAGGCTATGGAGGCTTTCCAAAGTCTGTTTGTACCTCTGTAAACAACGTGCTATGTCATGGTATTCCTGACAGGTAGTCATTGCTTAATAACATATTGTTCCTTTGGAAACTAAAACATGAAACTAAGATCTACAACATATGGTGAAAGACACTATTGTTTAATTGAAACCCACCTGCAAACTTTTGAAGCTGATTATGTTAAAACAAAAATTTGAAGTATTTTGCCTCAAAGTGCACATGATACCCCCATTTAATGTTTGTTAAAGCAGTCCTGTAATCCAAAAAAGTAGACTTACAAATAGCAATATGTTCATACTATATATTTCTTGTAAACTTTGATGTGACTAACCTAAGTTAAAGATTCGATATAGTTATTCCATTTATTCCTCCTTTACTCCAAATTATCATTGCAACTCATTGGGTTTGCGATAGTAGTCATTAGGTATTTATTTTTATAGCCCTTTTTATTGAGATCTGTCTATCACCGTTTTTCCCCTGTTTATGTTTCAGTCGACCTCTTCAGGATGGAGATATTATCAACATTGATGTCACGGTGAGTAAATCGTATAAAAAACAGTCTTTGATCAACTTCAGAACTGCTGGTAGCAACAGGAAGAAGAGTGGATTGAGAATGTGAACTGCGCCGATGGAAGTGCTGTTTACTTCTGGGCCCAGACACAGCAGCTGGTTTCCTTTTTTGTTTTTAACTCTGTTTATTCCAAGTAAACCCAGGCCTGACTTGAATTTAGGGCTGGAATCAGATGCACTGAGATCAATGTTGGCCTAAGTGAAATGTCAACCCAATCCTGCTATGTGTCATGTTTTTGAGAAGGTGTAATTGTTATTGATCCACTGTGTAGTTAATGCAGAGCACCGCCGCATTGGGCAGCTGCCGAAGCTAGATATGTATGAGATGAGCTAACGCGAAGAAAGCCAGCATTTTTCCTTCACTCTGCCAAGATTGATCTTCCTCTTCCTGCTGATTTTGAGTGGGGCCTGTCATTATCTTACTCTGTCATTAGAGGCCACGTTGGCCTGTGTGTGTCAGTCTATTTGGACAGCAACTCTTTTGCTAGCAGTGTTCTCAGATTTATTAAAATCCCTGAAGGTAGCACCATGTTCCATTTCTGGTACAGAGAGCCTTGAACTCAAAGCATCCCAGCGGAACGGCTTTCTCTCTAAACTTAAGTTTTCATCAAATGGTTAACAGCCTTTCTTTTAAATAACAACTCAAAATAATTTAGCCTAGGAACTTCAAATGTACAAGCTCTAAAACCTTTTCTAATATTCTTAGCCCTTGACTACTTTCAGAGGTGGCGTGTTTGTGCGTTGGCAGTTCATTTTGCTAGAAAGTTTGGTAATGATACCTTTGGATTAAGTAGATTATAAATAAATTCTATACATCTGATGATTAATAAATAAATTTTAAGTAACTACCATTTAAATATCTGATGAGAACTGGTTAAGACAGATAGTATTGAAGCATGACAGTTTCTATTAATGAAGCAATGATTTTCGGCTTGAATCTTTTATTGAATTAATTGGGGTTACATTGGTTAATAAAATTATATATATATAGGTTTCAAGCATACAATTCTATAATACATCATCTGTATTTTTTAAAAAAATATGTTTTTATTGATGTTTAGAGAGAGAGGAAGGGAGTAAGAGATAGAAACATTGATGAGAGAGAAACATCCATCGGTTGCCTCCTGCATGTCTCTTCCTGGGGATTGAGCCTGAAACCTAGGCATGTATCCTGGCCAGGCATCTAACCAGTGACCTCTTGGTGTAGAGATGGATGCTCAACCACTGAGCCACACCCACTGGGCCATCACCTGTATATTGTATTGTGTGTTCACCACCCAAAGTCAAGTCTCCTGCCATCACCACTTATCTCCCTTCCCCTCTTCTTTATCTCACCCACCCTCCTTTCCCTCTTGTGTCTATGAGTTTGTTGGTTTTTTTCAGTTAATCCCTTCACCTGCTTCACCCAGCCCCCCAAGTCCCTTTCCTCCCTGACAGCTGTCAGTCTGTTCCCTGTACCTATGAGTCTATTTCTGTTTTATTTGTTTGTTTATTTGTACATTAGATTCCACAAATAAGTGAGATCTTATGATATTTGTCTTTCTCTGACTGGCTTATTTCACTTAGCATAATACTCTTCAGGTCCATCCATGCTGTCTCGAAAGGCAAGATTTCCTCTTTTTTTTCCTTTTTTTCGAACAGGTAGTATTCCATTGTGTAAATGTACCACAACTTTTTATCCACTCGTCTACTGATAGTCATTTGGGCTGCTTCCAGATCTTGGCTATTATAAATAGTGCTTCAGTGAACATAAGGATACAGAGGAAATGTTTTTAATAATAGTTATTCTAAATATATCCGATCATGAAACTTAGGTAGGAGAGGGAATGAGGTGGAAATTGGCATCCAGTAGTTTTCAGTCAGATTTTTAATTGCTCAGATTAATTAATTTTTTTACATATCAATTTGTGTGACAGAATAGCCAAAGATTCTTTTATTGCTAATACTCTTTTCTATCTTTGTGTGCTATTTAAAATACTTAAATATTTTCTCTATACATATTCTGTTGGTATCTTTCAAACTCAGAATCATGTGGCAAGAGATATTTTATGAAGTGTACCTGAAATAAAGTATTTTTCATGATACACCTTTCTTTTGGATTGTACCTGATTTGGGGGTTTTACTTTTATTTTCTCACCTAATCAGTCACCCCCTAATAAAATATTGCTGCTTTCAGTGAAATCAAGCATACTTTTCCCTATTTCTTTCAGTGTGTTCAAGGAGAATATTCCAAGCTTTTTCTATGTTTCCTGAAGGCTTTTCACACACACTTCCATTTTTAACATTCAAATAATTTCATAATTGCAAAATTCATAAAGCAAAGTGAAATATTTTCAATGTTAAGAAATGTGAAGCGGTCAAGGAAATATATAGGTTAGTATCTGAACAAATTATATTTCTTGTGAAATATTTTATTAAGTGAAATATCCCATTATTATTTCATATTATATTAGAAAACATTCATTGCATGTTATAATTGTTTATGTCTAGTATATATCCCAAGAAAATAGTTTTCTTTTTCCCTTGAGAATTGAATGTTTAAAAATAGATTATGCAGTGCCCATAGTAGTTGCTCAATAAATATTTGTTAAATAAATGAAGTAAAAAACAAGAATAGTTTGTGGGTATAAACAGTAATTATAGATAGCTGTCACAGACTTTCAAAAGTATTGTTATTTCCATATATATTGACTCTTTCAAGGAGTCATTTTGAAAGCTAGCAAAAGTAATATGAAAAGACATAAAAAAATTTTAATTCATTTTTACTTAAATAGCAGTTATGCAAACATTCAGATATACAAACTTTAAAAATAATTACTCTTATTAGTAAATGTTATATACTTGTATATAAAATTAAAACTTACACTTTCTTGGGTTACAAATGGGAATAAACATATAGAACACTGTTCCATTGTAAAGTATTTAAGATACTTTTATACCGTAGGAAAAAAACCACTGGATTGGAAGACAATAATCCATCATATTGATCTGGATCCACCTCTATATTCTGCCACTAACCTTAGACAAGTTACTTGTTTACCTCAGTTTACTGACTTTTAAAATGAAGACATATTAAAGAGTTTTCCTGTTTCCCTCACAGTGTGTGGGAGAGTATTTTTAAAGGTAGAATTGTACACAGATTTACGTTATTAATTCAGTATTAGAAAGCTCAGATAAACATTTTTGTAACAATTTCTGCATTTTACTTTTACTTGAGAAAGAGATGTGAAAAATAATTGCATAGAACAAATTTATGCAAAATAGCACATTTCATGCTACATTGATGGATCAATATTCTAATAATCTTCTCAAACTTTTATATTTATTGTGTTTGGTAATTATTGATTTTTATAATGAATGTTATCTTTCAAGATCATACAGGGACTGCTAAATCATTGAAGACTGATAAAAATAATTTTTTTATAATTTTATTCTTAACACTGTTTTCTTATATTTTAAGTCTTTAAATATTGAAGTCTAGTGTTTCCTGTTAACATTCAGCTATCTGGAACATTCAATAAAGATTTCACTTCCAGGCAAGATTTCTCATTCCTATATTGAGCCACTGTCTGTATAATATTGACATGTCTGTCTTATTTCTTGTCATTATCTCTGACTTCCAAACATAGAACTAGTAAATAAAAGATTGAATATCTTCATGACATTGAAGAAACTTTTCACTATGTTTAATATTGCTAGGTTCAACCTGTTGTAATATTTGTGGGTCAGTATCTTTGGTCACTACATTTTGCATATATAGTTTTGTCTTTTCAAAAATAAAGTCAAGAATCAACATGCTACTGTAGCATGGCTAATCAGAATGCTAAAATAGCCACACGAAGTCACTTATTTATTTTAAATTGTGTAATATTATTGCATGGCTTCATCTTTTAAATTTCTGTAAGATTTCAGCATACCTATTTCTTTTTTTGTAGGTGAACCTAAGAGTAATTCTAGAAGGCTAAAACAAGTGAATCCAATGTATACTTTAGAAGAGTAGATTTTAAACAACAACAAATTATTAAATTTCTGCCTATGTTTAGGTCTATTACAACGGCTACCACGGAGACACCTCGGAAACGTTCTTGGTGGGCAATGTGGATGAAGGTGGTAGGAAGTTAGTGGCAGTTGCCAGGAGGTGTAGAGATGAAGCCATTGCAGCTTGCAGAGCAGGGGCTCCCTTCTCAGTAATCGGAAACACAATCAGGTAAGCCTGACACTGACAAGTAAAGGGAGGGTTGGCAAATGGTGCAAGGTTATTGGTGGCTTGGTATAAAGTTGATGACATGTTTTATGATTCAGAGCCATCATTTCAGTCTGATATCAGTATGTGAACTGCCAGGCTGCAGTTTTGTTCCCTGAGTTAAAAAAAAGAAAAAGAAAAAGTGAATTATATCAGGGTCAACAAAGAAATTTATAGAAGCAGCAAGCAGTATTTGTGGACTGCTTTTGTTTTAGCTTGACATGTTGGTCTGTAGTGTTCCTCTACTCAAAACCACACCAAAATGGAAGAAAGTACCTAAGAAGGAGTTAAATAAGCATCCTAACACTTGGATGACGAGACAGGAGAAAAGCTAAGTGTTCTAAAGGAATGAAATAAACACATTCATGCGATACAGAGGTAAAAAGCCTTAGCTCAAGCAAGCTTTACCATTCAAATCAGTGGATTAGCTAACAGCCTGAAAGGGTGATCTTCTGTCCTGTTGGGTCTGGTTCATTTTTTCTATAAACCATTGTTTACTTTCCACACAGCATTCTGTACTTGCTTTTTTAGTAAATGGGTATTTTCTGAATTCAAGACTTTTTCTTTGTAATCTGTTACCTACTTTTAGATCTTTTCTCCCCATAACTGTTTTAAAGTAGACATGCAGAATATATGGTTGCTGCTTTTCATTTAAAAGTAATATTTTGCTAAAGATGACCACACCAGTACCTTTTAAAGTATGATTCTCATTAATATGAACCATTGAATGCTTCCCATTTGTCTGAAGGATGGACAACTTAGTCACCTTGTAAAAATGGTGCCCTTTTTCTTCATAAGCCCTCAAATGCTTTAAGAAAAATACAGTAAAATATCAGTTAAATGTATTTATGGCTTTAAAAATATTGTAACAGTGTCTGAATCAAACTTTAGTAAAATCTCTTTGGATTATATCTGGGAAGCTTTTATTGAAGACTTTGAACAAAATTGTGTTTTTGACAGTTTTAAATTATAGGCTAACTAGCCTGGGAAAAAGGGATAGTGTCTCTCTGTTCTTTCATAGGAAATGTTGAATCAGACCCCTACTGGGAAAAGAAATTTAATGCATATCTCACTATCTTACTGTCCATGAATATAATAGAAACGAATTCAAAATGCAGTTTTATTTTTGCAAATGGGATGAGTCGATAGATGTACCTCATATTTTTGAACACCTAGGGTTCAACAAATTTACTGGTGGTGTTCTTGCATTTTAACAAAATTTATTCTTCAGTGGAAGGGGGCAGAGAACACTAGATTCTTATTCAAGCATTCTATCGAGCTCTGCATTCATGGCTGTGTCTAAAGGGCATGTCAGCCTTTGATTCTCTCTGAGAGGTAATTATCCTTTTCCTGTCACGGAACAACAAATGATAGCTAACTACAGAGGCACATTTGCAGTAGTCACATTCATCAACTGCAGGAAAAAAAATTCAATTTAATTGTGCAACACAGCTGCACATGGGCTTTTGAGCATTTCTGTTGTTCTCCCTGTCTCGCTATTCCTCCCTCCAGATCTATTTTTTAAACTTTTTTTCTGGTTATTTTTCCCCCCTTTTTTTTTGTCTCTTCTTCCATTTTTACTCTCTGTACTTTCTTGTTAAAGTAATTTTCCTTTGTGGCTCTCATTCTTTTTTCCCCATTGAAGGCTATGAATGTAGAAAATTATCACAATTACTCATATAATTGAGCCTCTTTGTAGCAAGTGCAACTCCAGTAGCCTTTCTCCATCATGAAAATGGTTTCATTATAGGGTTTTTCATATTCCCTGACACCATCTACACAGAGGAACAGGCGTGCAGATGAGATGTACTAGGAACAGGCTGGATCAGTAAGGTCACAGTAGGAATAATTAGCTCTGCTATGGAAAGAGCATCTAGGCCTTTTACTGCTACATAAATGTACTGTCCGTGGCTTTTAGTCACAAAAAAACTTACTAACAAATGGAGCTCCCGCCTACTACTTTGAAAAAAAGATTTGTATCAACACTACAATTTTCCATCATTAAGACTAATAACACAGAGCCTAGTATACATCAAGGGGAATAAAAAGAAAAATCTCACATTCAAGTGGCGGCTGGGTGCTGACCTTTGTTCCCTTTTTTTGTGTACGACTTAACTGTTTACAAAAAAGAGCCACACGCCACACCAACATGCAGGTGAATTCCAGCTAGTGCTAGCAAAGCCTAGCATTCAGTCGGAAAATCTGATAAATCTCTATGTAGGATAATGCATTTCATTACATATTCACTACATTAATTCTAGATACATTAAAAAAAGAGAGAGAGAGAGAGAAGAGAATTGAAAGTGACATTGGATTTTAGCTATTTAAATGCAAAGGTCACTTTTTGCCAAGTACAAATTTGTGTGTATCAGCTCCTTTGAAAACCAGATCAGTCCCAACAACAGCACTTACAAAACTATGTAAAAAATAACAGACAATGAACTTTTTACTTTTACCCTAATACATTTCATTATTTAGATGGTTTGTGTCTGCCACCGGACAGGAAACTGGCCCAGATTCTAACAAATGTTTGTTCTAATGGGTGAAGGCAGTGTTTCTGGACATCTATTATTTCACCTTTTCTTATTCAGTCAAACCTTCAAGGGTGTAAATAAACAAGCAATCTCCACCTTTATGCCAAGTACTTGGAATCATTACAGACCTAAGTTTTACAAACATTTTTCAACTCAATCTCGTTTATTTTAAGATATTCACCATGTTTTGCGTGGCCTCCCTCTACTGATACAGCATGAAAAGAACATTCAAGCATCTTTTACTAGTATTCTATTACCAAAAATTGAGAGGTCTTTAAAGGAAATTTTTTAATTCTTGGAAACCTGAAAGATAGGATGATATCTCTGGAAAAGTATTGGCCAAAAGAGTTTAAACAGTCCTTCCCTATGTGTCCTTTTGTCTCATGAGGGGTAGTGATCTTTTGGTTACAGTGTGTTATTATCCTCACTGTAGCTTCATTTGCTTTGAATATTTCTAAATCTGTATTTTCATAATTATATCTAGATGGTATGATCAGTACATATGAGAATATTGTGAATGTGTAGATTCATGCATCACAAATATGTGACAGTTCAATCAAAAATAATTTAAACTTATACTTGTAAATGTCATGATGAAAGTATCAATAAATGGTTTTTAATGTTTAATTCATAAGTATCTGTTTTGATATTAATTTAGAAGAATATAAAGCAGATTTTGAAAAATAATATCTTTCTATTAGATTATGCACATTTAAACAATAAGTGGCTCAGGCAAAATAAGTCATTTTAATGCCATTTGTGATGGATTTTTCTTGACAGCTACTGTAAATTACAATTATACTGCTTCTCTTTGCACATGAAAGTAAGCATTGCAATAAATTATCTTTTATTTCAATCCATCATGTCTGCTTTTCAGAAACAGAAAACCTCAAATAAAAGTTGAAGAAAAATACAGTAATTTGTGGTCCAGTTTGAAACAAAACAACAACAAAAGTACCACTCTTTTGGAAAACAATTACTGGCTTTCAAAAATATTACTAATTATACTTAAACATTTCTTGTCATTAGAGGGAATCATTCCTCTAATTCCTTCATTAAAAGACTACTTAAAATAAAAATCTGGAAACATTAAGCTAAAATGTCATAACTTAGAATATCAGGTGCCATTTAAGATTCTTTAATTAAAGATGTGGCCATTTAGAGAATAGTTTTCTTTAAAAGATTTGTGTAAAAATGGTAATAAAACTATTTCCATGTGCATTTTTATTTTGTTAGAAGAGTATATACTTAAATATTGGACTCCTCTGCCCTCTTGGGGAATGTATTCTTAGTCATAAAAAGGTAGTTAAAATATATTAAGAATTTTAATTTATTGAGACATTTAATATTTCAATTGAAGAAACCTGCCTCATGAAAAGGAAGTAAACTGAAGAAAATGGTCACAAGATGAAATTCCTTAAGTAAGATTTTTTTTTTCAACCAAAAACTATAACTGACACATGAACTGTCATAATACAATATAATTTAAAAGTAAGTTTACAGACTTTCATACATCATCTCTCCCCAAATATTCTATATGGGCTTCAAATCATAAATGTGCTCAGGCTAATGCAGAGGTACCCTACTATCTTAGAGGATTTTTAGTTGTGGGCGGGGGGGAATAAGAAGAGCTAAAACCATAAGAGTTCTTTTCAAAAGATTTCAGCAAAAAGAAGTCAAAATGTCCAGGACAAGAGATCCTTGTGCTCAGAATTTGGTCATGACCCTAGGGTGGCTGGTGTTGGGGAACACCTGCTGCACTTCTTGGGCAACCCTGCCCACCCAGCTGTTCCCATGTCCCCCAACACACCAGTCAAGAGACGCACACATGCTCCACCTTCCTGTGCCATGATTAAGGATATCACTTCTCACTTTTATGATAGAGTAGAATTTGCTACTACAAGTCATTTGGCTTGCCTCTATGAAGTTAGATTTAAACCCTAGAATTAGGTACATAATCTTTGCTTCCCATGTATTCCAAAATAATAAAAGGGGTGTGCTTTTAAGTAGCAATTTGGAACATTGATGAGATTTTTTATCCTATTTAGTCCCTGTAGGTATGTGTTAAAAAGCTAACTACCAATCCAAAAAGGAAAGTACTTGGAAAAGCAGACAGAAGGGTATATACTAAGCTCCTGGGAACCAAGCATTGAGACGGGTGTTCGACCAAGGGACTGAAGGAAATCTGTCCTGTTCTTTCCCCCACGGCTGTGAGCCCTCTGACCTCTGCATCCATGACAGATACATTCTATGGTCCTCTGATAGCTGGGAGTTCCCGAGGGATCCAGGCAGTAAATTGTTGTAGGAGAATGCACTCAGATATCTTAGGTACCTAGTAATTGCAGAGCTTCTTTTATAAAGAGGAATGAGAGGTATGATGGGGAGGGGGTGGGACCCCAAGTGTCTGTCCAGAGTGGGCTTTCTTCCTTTCCTTTCATCAGAAATTAAAATGAAGATTGCCAGTGTAACATACATTTAAGATGTAGCTGTGATACCTGCCAATCAGAACCTTTAAAAAAAAAAAAAAAACCTAGGTGTTTTTTTTCCTTTAAGAAAATAGAACAGTTTATATTGAATGCTCTTAGAATCAATGAGATTTGTTGAAACTGAAGTAACATTACAGGTTTAGGTAGAGCCCATTTTTGAAAAAAAAAAAAATCTAGATCATTATATCTTATTTGATAATCTCTCTTCCACCCTCTATCCAGTCTTCATCCTCAGTTTCTATTCAGAAATTGTGTGGTACAAATAGAAAAGCCTTGGGAAACTTGTTTAACCTCCCCCAAGTGCAAAGATACATGGAAATAGATTAAAAAAAAACATTGATTTATCAATCCTGTCCTAAGCACATGCATCGCTTACTTATTTCTATGTTATCAGTTACAAGAACATTAAATCTGAATGAGAGTCTGTCTATCTGCTGTGTAGAGTGACATCCAATATTTTACAGGTCTGGAGATGAAGGTTAAAAATGTTGAGAGAGCCGGGACCGGTTTGGCTCAGTGGATAGAGCGTCGGCCTGCGGACTGAGGGGTCCCGGGTTCGATTCCGGTTGAGGGCATGTACCTTGGTTGCGGGCACGTCCCTGGTGGGGGGTGTGCAAGAGGCAGCTGGTCAATGTTTCTCTCTCATCGACGTTTCTAACTCTCTGTCCCTCTCAATTCCTCTCTGTATAAAATCAATAAAATATATATTAAAAAAAATGTTGAGAGAAAAGTACATCAACATTCGTACTCATAAAGACTCTGGCTAAATGCCTTTGAGCTCATATTAAACTGAATGGAGGGTCTTTTGGAAACTCCAGTTTGGAATCTCAGAACTTTGGTTTTGTTAACAATTTAAATAGTGGTCTTGTAAATCCCAATCCATTGTTATGGTTAGGATTCAGGCACTGTGCCCTTCATCCACATGAAAATATAAAAATTAATGGTATATATGTCTTTTGTCTTTCTGGCACTCCCAGAAATAAAACATGTGCACCTAATTTCAAAAACAACTTATTAACCTTGTAGGTGAAGATCTTATGGTTGGAGTATTATGTACCATATTTTATTTATATGGAATAGATGGAACCTAAATGATGTGGATGTAGAAATAACAAATGAAACATTAAGAATTAGGAATCATAATACTAGTTTTTCTTAACCATCCCAATGGTTAAAAAGCATTCTTTATTATTCCTTTTTTTTCTTCTTTTTTTTTTAATTTTAGAGAGGAAGGGAGAGGGAGAGAGAGATTCCGGTAGAAACATCAATGATGAGAGAGAATCATTGATCTCTCCTCATTGCATGCCCCACACTTGGGACCGAGCCTGCAACCCAGGCATGTGCCTTTGACCAGAACTGAAGCTGGGACCCTTCAGTCTGCAGACTGACACTCTCCCCTGAGCCAAACTGGCTAGGGCTATGATTCCTCTTATTGGTGTAAGTCTTAAGGAGAAATCCTAAATGATCACAAAGTTTTGTACTGTTTCAAGAATACGGACAAAGCAGATTTGACCTTTTGTGAGAATGTCTGTTTGCAAAATGCTTTGAAATAGACCAGAATAAGGGAACTATAGAAAAACGAAGTCACATTTCTAGATTATAAATTTTTTTCTCTCTTTGGTTCCCAACTTGTAGTAAACTGCATAGTCTTTTTGTGAAACCGCATACAGCACGCAAGTTTTTAATGATCTGCATTATATTCACGTGTGTATCTTGGTTATATTGAATTATATAAGTGTGTGGCACACTCATCTAAAAGTGGTCTTGCTTGAACATTGTGCTAAGGTCAATGAAGCAAACTACTGTACTGTGTTAGATACATACCTTTTTTTTTCATTTATCCAAAGGGAGTTTTATAAGCAATGGCAAAAAAATTTATTTCAGAATAATGAAAACATTGTCATTATCTGACTCTAGTATCTTTTTTTATAGAATATTTTAAGTGACTTTGTTTTTATCTATGAATGCATTAAAAACATATCTAATTTAATTATTTTGTTTGGTCACTTTTAAAGCCACATCACTCATCAGAATGGTTTGCAAGTCTGTTCACATTTTGTGGGACACGGGATAGGATCTTACTTTCATGGACATCCAGAAATTTGGCATCACGGTAAGAAAGTTAACTTGGGAGCTGTTAATTGAGTGGATTCAGGATAAGGTAGTTTTGCTCCTGAAGCTCTAACTTTGGATCCACATTATCATCCTTTTGTACGTGTGGATTCAAAATTAGAATTCAAAGGGTTCATAATCATAACCAGCACATTACTATGTTACTGGATTAGTGCCCAGTAGTTTCAATCCCAAAATAAGATTTATTTTGCACCGAAACCAGTTTGGCTCAGTGGTAGAGCGTCAGTCTGCGGACTGAAAGGTCCCAGGTTCGATTCCGGTCAGGAGCATGTACGTTGATTGCGGGCATATCCCTGGTAGGGGGTGTGCAAGAGGCAGCTGGTCGATGTTTCTCTCTCATCGACGTTTCTAGCTCTCTCTCTCCCTTCCTCTCTGTAAAAAATCAATAAAATATATTTTTTTTGAAAAAGATTTATTTTGCTTTTTGTCTTCTCTTGAAGAGTGATGGCTGGAAGGCACAAGGAATATCTGTCTAGGAAAAGTTACTGGAATCAAGATACCGCTGCATCAGTGTCCCAACAGCGTGCACATAGGACTTTCCTATTTTCCTTTTTCTACCCCTTCTCTCTCGCTGCTGACTGTTGTGGTTAAACTTCATCACATCCTCCACAGCGATGACAGCTGATGTATTTAGCAGCATGTACTCTTTAGTGATGTCTAGATTATACCCACCCTGTGTCCCTTCCCCAGAATCTCCTGTTTTTCACTGCCTGGGTGTGCACCCTACAGTGGGGAAGCAGGTTGGGCCACAAGGCACTGGAGGTAGGGGGTGAGGGGAGAAGATTGGGGTCAGGGTAGGAGGCAGTTCTTTGAAACACCCGAGACCAAAGGACCCTACGCAGGTGGGCATCCCCCTTGGCTTCTTGGGAATAGTTCCTGGAGGAACTACTGCCTAGACCCCCTGCCCTGGAAGGCTCCTGGAGATGCATCAGGTCAGAACTCCCTTGGGGCCAAAGAGCCCCACCTGAGGCCCAGGAGGAAGTGCAGAAAGGGCCTCTTAGACATGTGCCCCACCCAGAGCTAACACTCGGACTTTTTGAAGTCACCCCTGACCTTTCCTCCTACGGTAGCCTGCCTTCCCTTTGCATCTGTTGCCCAAGTTGTCTTTCTGTTTGGGTTGGGGATAGATCACAAGGCCCAGGACCCAGCGAAGCCAGGAGACCTCATGGCAAGTGGCCAGGGCAGCAGAGGATCCTGACAAATGTCAAACACTCCTGCTAGGCCTTGACCCCCCGGGTGCAGAAAATGCAAAGACTGACAGAGGAGCCCTGTGTTTAACCCTGGGTTGTTAGTGAACACCCAGCATTCTAGAAACCTCCACCCTCCTACCCCAAGAGGAAGAAAAAAAAAATGAAATTACCAAGTTTTTTGAGCAGCCCAACCCCTCTAATTCTGTTTCTGTCTTTTTCTCCATTTCCCATTCCCTTTCCCCCTACCCCATCTTTTATTTCTTACAGCGAACGACAGCGATCTGCTCATGGAGGAGGGGATGGCCTTCACCATAGGTCAGTGCGGGCGCTCCTCTTCAGAGCTGCGGCTCCCCCAGCAGAAGCATCGGCAGTGGCGCTGGCCTAGGCCAGGCAGCCTCGTGAAGGACTAATAAAGCCAATCAGCATAATGAAATAATTCAAATGCAGAGTAAACCTGATTAAATAATATCCTAGAGCCCATCTTCCTAAATCAGATACTTACCGACACATTTAGAAGAGGCAGCCCTCCACCCTCTAATTCTGTTACCAATGCAATGTGGTGGTTGGGTTTTTGGTGTGTGTGTGTGTGTGTGTGTGTTCGTTAACACCCAGGAGCTGGAGACAATTATGTCCCTTGCTCCCTGTCAGCGGTGCCATGTACTCTCTGTGGCCCATTCCTGGCTGATCATGTGATTAGTGTCACCAATAAATTCCAATCACCTAAAACCCGGAAGGCATCATGTTTCTGACTGGGACTTAATGGAGAAGCAATTAGAGTGAAATAAGAAAACTGTTATTTGCTGATTAATGAACATTTTGAACATTTTTTTAATATTTTTTAAAAACTCGCTGGTATTTATAAGAGGGACTGATGTTTGGGTGGTTATTATCCACAGGGTCCTAATTAAGTCTTGATTAAAATGCCCTTTTTCCTCTAAAAAATTAGGAACTAGGCAACTTCATAACATTCTGAATGCAGTAACGTTTCCTCTTCCTACTGTTTAGTTTGTAGTATACTATGCACGCAACATCAATTATCAGCCCTTGCAATGTGACAACATGAGCCCACGGGGGGAGTACTTGGGAGGAGGGGGGAAACCTTCTTACTCTCTTTTTTTGATCATCAGTGGAAACAATGTTTGACAGGAATCTGATTAGTTCACGCAGTAAACATTTCCCCTCTTACAGAGCCAATCATAACCGAGGGATCCCCAGAATTTAAAGTCCTGGAGGATGCGTGGACCGTGGTCTCCCTGGATAATCAGAGGTGGTTACTTCTCAGTGGTTTGGGAAGGGAAGGTTCATCCCTGGGCACTGGCTGGCAGGCGAGCTGTGCTCCCCGCCCCGCCGCTCGCCTGGGGCGTCCTGACCTACACCCCTGTCTCTCCCCCCCCCCCCCCCCCCGTGTTTCAGGTCCGCCCAGTTCGAGCACACCGTGGTCATCACGTCGGAGGGCGCTCAGATCTTGACCAAACTGCCCCACGAGGACTGAGGAGCGGCCCCGAGATCGCAGAGGCTGGGCGCCTTTTCTCCTGCATTGCCGAGATCCAGCTGGAGAACGAAATCCAGCTGGAGAACTTTGAGCAGGACCGGCCGGAAGGCTGGTGGGGAACAGCCTGCCCAGGACCCAGAGGCGGCTTGGAAAACGCCGTGGGGCTGGGCGGGAGCTTGGGGGGCGGACATCTGGGAACGCAGATCTGAAGCCCTGCGTGGTGGTGCGGCTACATCCTGACATCCTGGAGCGGACTGTGTTTCCGGAGGGGGAATGGGACGTCCTCGTTTGGAAGACGAATGATTCCTGTAGGTGCATGGTTTTCTCTTTCCCTTGTCTTACCTCTGCCCAAGTAAAAAGCTCACCCCTTAACCCCATTGTGTCTGCGCTCCCAGTCTCTGACGGTCACTAGTGGGGGCAGAGGGTAGTTGGTTAACTTTTGAGTTTCTGAACTTTTCATATGCCCCCGCATAAAGAAAAACCGGAGCCCGGCTATTAGGTGGAATTTTTTTTGTCTTGTCACTTTTTACCCCATTGTGGACCCTCCACTGGCTAGCCCCTGCGCCCCAGCCCTTCCCGTTCTTCCCCTTCATAGAGGCTTTGCAATGAAAGATTAGCCGACTGGAAGGAGGGGGTGGCTACAGACACGTCTTTTCCTGTGGACCCCGGCCTGGCTCTTCTGCAGGCTTGACCAATCTAAAAACACGACTTTCTGATCCCCTGCAGCTTTTCCTCTCTGGCCCTCAGCCTGCCCTGCAGTGCCATCCCAGAGGTTACTTTTGCAAGACCCTATGTACACACACACACACACACACACACACACACAGACACACACAGACACACACACGTTTGTTGCACTAGGAAATGATGCATGAATCCCAGGCTGCTGTAGCCCCTAATCTAACCTCTCCCCATACTGGCTCCCTTCAGACCACACTCTAGCACTGGGGACCCAGAGGCTCCCAGCAAGAAGAGGTTCGGGTTTTTTTTGTTTGTTTGTTTGTTTTTGTTTTGGCAAAGGCCTAGTTAGCAGGATTGATTGAAGCTGGTGAGTTTCCCTGCACTTCAGCCTCTTGCTCACAGCTCCACCTGCTTTAGGAAATCCAGAGATCCACATTTTTTGTCTCAAGACCCATTCCTCGTTCTAGCTCCCCAGGACCTGCTCATACGCGGGCCCAGGGGTGGAGAGGGGCTGGGCCTCTGGCAGGACACAGAGAAAATAGCTGCCCCTTTGGTCGTGGTTTTAGGAACAAGTCCCATTTAGGGTTTCCTCAAAGTCAGTGCTAACTCTTGTTTTTACTGAAGTGGGTTTTCTAAAGTTGCCACCCACTAACTATGGCTTGGGCTAGAGAGCACCCAGGACATGTCAGACACCTGTAGTTGCCATGAGAGATGGCCTCTCTGATTGGGTCCCAAGGGCCAGCTCCTCTCTGGGGCACAGTGGCGGGGGGGGGGGGGGGGGGGGGGGGGGGAACCGGGGCCAGTGAACATGCTAGGGAAGTGCTCAGTCTTTTCCCTGAACTTTTTGTATTCTCCTGGGCATTCTCCCACACCTCTGGCTCTCTTTCTCTGTGTCCAGGGATGGAGAATTTCGGGGGGGGGGGGGGGGATGATTCTGATTCTAGTGGATCTCCGAGCTGGAAAAGACAAGGAAGGGGTTGAAGATTTACAAGATTCATTGAAAAACTTAAGGGGTGCTTAGAAAACTTTTACAAGGCCCAGAGACTTCCAGGGGCTCTCCCTCTGAAAAACCTGGAGTCCCTCGAGAGGAGCGAGGCCCAGATGCCAGTGGGAGAGGACTGCCCTTCTCTCCTGGAGGATTGCTCCAATCACCTGCATCTTATCTACAGGTCAGGCTCCCCATGAATAATTAATTTTATTAGGACCACAGGATTGTACCAGCCACTGGGATCGCACACCGCTGCGCAGCAATTATGCCAAGGTGGGCGTATGTATGGGACAGATTTATAATTCCTTTATTAAAGTAACCTAAAGTTTCAACATTGTATATATACAGGCAATACTCTGCAGCTCCATAGGAAACAAACTTCATTTAGAACGAACTCCCGTTTAACATACTTTAAAGTTGAAGTTAGGAAGCAGATTTTAAAGTGCCTTGTCCACTCTCCACCCCTCACCCCTGCCACCTTCATTAGCTCCAAACCTCAGGGGGAATCCAGCCCAGGGGGGGGGGGGGCTATTGCTAACCCCCAGGCACCAGTCCTGCGTGCCTCCAAGAGGTCCCACTGGCAACCCGGGGCATTCTCCGGATACAAGAGAGAGTTTTATTTCCTCTGAGAGCGGCGTTTCAGAACCTGCGTTTCAGAACAGGTGTACCCTTATCCGTGTGGGGTGGAAGGGTTCATAGGACAGAGATAAGATCACAGGTTGAGAAGCTAGCCAAGGCCGGCTCTCTGAGCCCGGAGGGCCCTGGCTCCTCCGCTCCTCCCAGTAACTGTGTCTCTGGATCTAAGAAATAATTCCGGAGTGTAGACACTCGCTCGCCCACAATAATTCACTTCTAAAATAATTGAGACTCTGAAACCGGTTCATACGGGAGCGCGTGGGGATCTTTTGTTCCCGGAGCCAGCCCGGTCCACTACGCTACGAATGGCTTGGATTCCCACCTCCAGATGTGGACGGACAGACGGACAGAGAGCCCTGGAGACAGACCATCGCGACCTGTGGCATCCTCTCTCCCTTTCCCCCACCCTGCAGTGATCTGGAATAAACTGGCCCTGCGTGACTCAGCTGTCGGGTTCCCCTTGCATTGCCCTGAGCACCTGGAGTGACCAGCCCCGCTTCCCTTCCTGGGTCCCAACCCCAGCCCCGCGCCAGCTCAGGCGATCACTTACGTGGTCAGGGCCCGCCGGGCGCTCGGGAAACCAGGGGCCGGGGCGGGCGGCATCCGTGCTGCTTGCTGCGCTGGGAGCATCTCACTGCGCTCCGCGCCCTGCCTTACACCCCAAAATAGGCGCTAGGAAGGAGCAACGAAAACCACAAGCGCAACACGGAAATCAAGAGGAGCCCTGCAGCCCCTGGGAGTTGTCTGGTAGCGGAGTCATTAGCTGGCTGTTGCTGCTACAAAGTATCACCGTGTGGTTGGGTGATTAAGGGGGGAAAAAATCTTTTTAAACGTTGGCAAAGCTGTTATTGGTTTGGAGGATCGGTTGTGGGGTGGGGTGGATTTTTTTTTTTTTTTTGCTTTTGTTTTTCTTTTTTGCTCCAACCACACAGCCTGAAATATGTCTACCCCCAACATCATGCCCTGAAACCAAAGGAGAGGAATTCCGCGGGCAGCAGCTGCTGCTACTGAAGTTAAAAAAAGAAAGAAGCCCCTTCCACTAGTGTCTGCCACGACAGCACCGATGTAATTTGTTTGGAGTGCTCATTTTTATTGGTGTTCCTCCTGCCAAAATATACTTGATTACAGAGGTTTGTCCTGTGATCACTGCGACACTCACTCCAGCCAGGGGAGGAAGGTGCGTCGTGAAGGTTCAGCTCAGGCCAGATCAGATCCCACAGGCTTGTTGAACGCTGAAAGGCTGCTTGTTGCTATTAGTGTTAAATATATGGCTAATTATGCGTATGAAAATTAAACATCAGTGTTATGCTAATGGGGCGCCTTCAGCTGCGGATTCGAGCACTTGAGACTACCATTTAATCAAACGAATCAGTAACTAATACATCTGCACGTGTGAACTTTCACAAGATCATTCACCCCCCCCTCCCGTTCCCGCTACACCGCTACATTATGAAAGAAATAATTACCAACACTTCCTAATTACCTAACAAAGTGATTTTGGTGAGGCTGGAGGGATCGGGAACCCAGAGCCCCTGGAAGACGGCGTGGTTTGCACCACGCCTGGAGAGGGTGGCTGGGTGGTGGTTACAGCGGGGGGCGGGGTGGGGGGAGGAGAAAGGGGGGATTTTTGTGCACTTTTCTGTACCTAGCGCCCCAGAAGACAGGAGGCCTTGGCAGCTTTTGCCTCCACCAGCCCTGCCCCCCAGCCCCAGTGGACACTGAAAATGAAGAGGATCCTGGGCGACGGCGAGAGACACGTCCGCACACAAGATAAGTGAGCCCGCTATCGGCCTGGTTTTGCCGCGGGTTTCGGGGTCTCCTAAACCCCGGGATCTCGCCGGACTCCAGGAGGCCGGAAAATGACCACCTGGCCTCCGCTGCCCAAGCAGACCTGAGCCCTCCAGCTCCGGGGCTCTGCTCGGCGCCGCGCCCCAGGGGCTCCAGGCGCGGGGGAGCGAAGAGGGGAGGGGAGGGGGCGGCGGAGGGAGGACGGGGGTGTCGGGGGAGTGGAGGGCGGTGCGGCCGCCTTTCCTGGGAGGAGAGGCGCGGGTTCCTGGCTCTCCCGCGCGCACTGCTTTCATCAGCCAGACCGGTGCAGCCTCGCACTAGAGCGGCCAGCTGGGCCCGGAGCAATGCGAGCCGGCCCCAGGGAGCGACGGCGGCGGTGGGGCGGTCGAGTGAGTGAGTTCGCCCGAGGGCCCCAGATCTCACCCGGGGAGAGGGGCGAGGGGGATGTGGCCGAGCGAACCCAGGCTCGGGGGGGTGGAGGCCTGCGGGAGCGCTGCGCGGGGCGCCGGAAGCTGGGCGCGACCGCGCCCCGTTAGCCGCCTCCAGCGTCGCGCTCGGAGGCGGCGGCCAGGCTCCTGAGCTGCCCTCACCCCGCGCCGGACCCGGCGGCGGCTGGGGGAAGCCGTGCCCGGTCCCCGGGGTTGGGATGGGAGGAGGACCGGGATAGCAGGGGGAGGGAGGGCGGCCGCCAGATCGCAGGTTGTTTTCTGGGGACTGAGGCGCTCCGGGAGGCGGGAGGCCTGGGAGCCGCGGGCCCGTTCATTGTGCGCCCCGCTCGCCGCGCTCTTTTGCAGCCGAGCGAGCCCCGGCCGGGAACCGGGGACGCGGCTCTCCCGAGACCCGGCCGCTTCGCCCGCTCTAGTCCAGCCGAGCCGGAGCGCCTCGGACCAATCCCCGGCGATTATGCAAGGCGACGGACCAATCAGCTCCGCCGGCTCATGAATATTTATGACCTTGGCTGAGTCAAAGCTTTGAAGCGAGTTTGGGGAGCTCGGCGGCATCATGCTTTAGACTTTTCAAAGAGACAAACTCCATTTTCTTATGAATGGAAAGTGAAAACCCCTGTGCTGCTTAAATCGGGTCCCTTCCTGCCCTGAGAAACACAGAGACCCCCAAAAAGGAAAAGCAGAGGAGAGGGGAGAGAGACCCACACACCCAGACCCCCGCGAGAAGAGATGACCATGACCACCATGCCAGAAAGTCTCAACAGCCCCGTGTCGGGCAAGGCGGTGTTTATGGAGTTTGGGCCGCCCAACCAGCAAATGCCTCCTTCTCCCAT